TCTTTGGCCCGGGCCATCCATTGTAGGGGAGCGTGGTCAGTGACAAGGGTAAAGCTGCGGCCCAGGAGGTAATATCGCAGCTCCAGAACTGCCCATTTTATGGCCAGAGCTTCTTTCTCCACTGTTGCGTAGTTCTTCTCGGCTGGGAGCAGCTTCCTGCTAATATACAAGATTGGGTGTTCCTCACCTTCCTGTATCTGGGACAGGACTGCTCCTAGTCCTGTGTCCGAAGCATCAGTTTGCAGCAGGAAGGGGCAGGCGAAGTCCGGGGCCCGAAGAACTGGCTCAGATGTCAGTGCCATTTTTACTTTGTGTAGTGCCTCTTCTGCAGCAGTCGTCCAACAGATCTTCTCAGGCTGCCCCTTCCTGGTCAGGTCTGTAAGGGGGGCGGCTAGAGAGGCAAAGTTAGGTATGAAGCATCGATAATATCCCGCCAACCCCAAAAAGGCTCGTACCTGGGTTTTTGTTTCCGGCTTTGGTGCATTACGAATTGCTTCCACCTTCTTTTCTTGGGGCTGGATTAGCCCTCGTCCCACCCGAAAACCCAGATATTTGGCTTCATGGAGCGCAAGGTGGCATTTGCGGGGGTTGGCGGTGAGTCCAGCCCTTCTGAGTTCCGACAGCACTCTCCGCAGGCGATCTAGATGGTCTTCCCATGTCTCAGAATGAATGACAACATCATCTAGGTATGCGGCAGCGTAGGCTTGGTGAGGGCGAAGAACAATATCCATGAGCCGCTGGAAGGTGGCGGGAGCTCCATGCAGGCCGAAGGGAAGGGTCCGGTATTGCCAGTGGCCACTAGGGGTAGAGAAGGCGGTCTTGGCTTTGGCTTCCTCAGATAGGGGTACTTGCCAATAACCTTTGGTTAGGTCCAGGGTTGAGATGTACCGGGCCCTTCCCAGGCGATCCAGCAGCTCATCCACCCGAGGCATGGGATATCCGTCAAACTCTGAGATCTCATTGAGCCTTCGGAAGTCATTGCAGAAGCGGAGAGTGCCGTCAGACTTTGGTACCATTACGATTGGGCTGGACCATGGACTGCGTGACGGCTCAATCACCCCTAACTTCAGCATTTGTTCTACTTCCTCTTCAATAGCCTGCCGACGAGCTTCAGGGACCCGGTAAGG